TGGAGGTTCACACAGTGCTGCGCCTGCCACGAAATCTGCACATGGAGTCATGGAGGTTCACAAAGTGCTGTGCCTGCCACGAAATCTGCACTTCAAGAAACAAATGAAAACTCTAATCACAATGGAGGGACGATTCCGAGAATGATCCGAAGCATGATCCGACCATGACCCGAGACCGCCTCGCAACCGTCGTTCCGCCGAGCTTCTGCGTCGAGGTTCGGAGCAGCGTGGAGGTTCACAAAGTGCTGTGCCTGCCACGAAATCTGCGCATGGAGGTTCACACAGTGCTGTGCCTGCCACGAAATCTGCGCATGGAGGTTCACAAAGTGCTGTGCCTGCCACGAAATCTGCACATGGAGGTTCACAAAGTGCTGCGCCTGCCACGAAATCTGCGCATGGAGGTTCACAAGTGCTGTGCCTGCCACGAAATCTGCACATGGAGGTTCACAAAGTGCTGCGCCTGCCACGAAATCTGCACATAGAGGTTCACAAAGTGCTGCACCTGCCAAGAAATCTGCACATGGAGGTCTAGTGTATGATGAGTGGTGTATGATGAGTGGTGTCTAATGAGTGGTGTATGATGAGTGGTGTATGATGTGTGGTGTATGATGAGTGGTGTATGATGAGTGGTGTATGAACAGTGGTGTCTGATGAGTGGTGTATGATGAGTGGTGTATGATGAGTATGATGAGTGGTGGTGTATGATGAGTGGTGTATTGATGAGGGGTGTATTGATGAGTGGTGTAGGTTGAGTGCTGTATGAACAGTTCTTGAATGTCCGTAACACGGAAGTTTCGTACACAAAACTTCCTTTGACCAGATATCTCTATTTAATTTCGAGACGACACACCCACAGTCGCGATCGTATGGACCTTGCTTCAGAAGCTATATAAGAGTTTTGGAGCCTTAACGAGGCAGCACGATCGCTGGGGCAGGCGACGGATGGGACATCGTGGGTTTGATGCTGACAGAGCTGGCTGTTTGGTCATGCATTCATGCTCCCATTCCTATGCCTGCATGCGTTCCATCTTGGAGGGCACTACCGTAACGTTCTAGCACGAATGCTGACTATGAACTGTGGAGCATCACACCGACACGGACAGTTCTGGAACTCTTGAAGCTGCTGCGGCAGGCCGGCTCTGCCTTGCCGGATCGTGAGCAGGACTGCATGGCCAAGTTTCAGGTAGCCTTTCCAAGCTTTTACCACTGAGTCAAGCAGAGGATGTGGAAGTGTTCGTGCATCACACACTTTCTAGAATGGTGCGGAGGGCCAGCTACACGCAAGTGCAAAAGCCTACCTTGTGGACACGTCGCTACACAGGACGCAGAGCTTCTTCGTTCTGTGATCCCCGAGGCTGTGGGTGGCAAGCGGATCCGCTAATGTTTTTGTTTTGATCCGAACTGTCCATAGCTACTGGGTTTGATCAAACAGTCCAGCTGCCAGCTGCTCAGGATAGCCGGGCCTGGGCTGATCTCCAACTGCGGCTGGAGGCGGGGTTGCAAACGTCAAGGCGCGTGTGTGCATGTGTGCAACC